GTATATTGCTCTTTTAAACCACCAGTATCAGTAGCTTATGCTGCACCATTTACTATTAAGATGGAATTTGGTAATTTAATTAATTATTAAATAGAAATCAAAATGTGTGTAGTTTTTGGAGTGTTTTACACTTCGTATTCAGAAACTATAAAAGTCTAATGTTATTTGTAAATGTTTAAAGTAATTTTCTAAAAGCAATTAGCATTTTACTGTCTGTTACATTTCTTGATGTCTACTTAGCCTAAAGCACTGGGCTATTTCATAGAACCTACCCAGACTCCTGAGAGTTATATTTAATACATCTTTATGTATATTTATATATACATTTCTATTGAGCATTATGTTTATATTTGTACTCGTGCAGAAAACTACAGTACTTTCTCTGTGGCACACCAGTATAAAATTATGCACTGGGTATCTAATTACATCCAGCAGAGAGGCTGTGAAGTAATGTTCAGTCAATTATTTTAAAACAATAATGGAGCCCTTGGAAGGGGCTGCCTTATCTGCATTAAAAATGAAACACTGAATTGAGAAGAACCTTTCATCAGGCTTATAGATAAGGCAGAGCTTTGTGGGATTGGCAGATGGTGCAATTGGTCTTGTCTTGTCAAAAAGCTTCCTTTTTAAGAAAGAAAAATGGGAAAAATGCAATGGAGCTCCTCAGTTGCTTCCACTCTCTTTGATCCCACTCTCACCTCAATAAAAAGCTTTTAAAAGGCACTTCTCCCTTGTTCTCTGTGATGTCCAGGCACTTTCAGGGAATCAAGGCAGAGAGGGTTACGTACTCATTATCAGACTCTCAGTGTTAATGCCTCCTTTGGAGAGAGGATACAGTGCTTTCCATCATTACTTTCTGCTTGTGCCACTTTCAAACAAATGTTTCCCCTGGACACTTTGCCTACATTATGAGACACTCTGGCCTGCCGATCCCCAGTATCAGGTATCAAGACATCCCCTTCTGAGAGCTGGCAGCTCTGTAACACTACACCTCAGGGTCTGGTTGAACATTTTTAACAGCCTTTTCTGACCCAGCTTTGACAGTCTCATTGGACCTGGCCTGGGTGTCTGTTCTGGGCTCTCCCTGTTCTGCATACCTGTCACCAACATTTCTTTTTATTTCTCTTTTGTTTTACACCAAAACGGCTGAATTTTCAGCCTTTTATATATTAGATATATACTGTACAGTATTCATACACCACTCAAATTAGAGACTCCCTGCATCACATTTTGAATACTGCAATTTAGTAATAATAGGAAATAAATTGATAGGCAGTTTAGAAATTAAAGACACGTTGCAAGCATAATAAAAAATTATGCGAACATTAAGCTTTAAACAGTCCACATGAACTTGAGAAGCAAGTTTTTAATCTCTATTCATTTGTTTATTGAAATTGTAAGTGTGCATTGTTTCACAGACTGAATACTGGTTAGATGACAGTGATTCAGAATGCTCTCATGATTTGATTGAAGTTTTATATTTATTTATTTTCAAAGTTTTTTTAAAAAACCAAGAGCTATTTTACTCTATGACTCAAAGCTATTAGGAGGATTATAGCTGAACGGAGGAACACCGATGTAATATGCAAACATTCAAAAGCCCTTTCTTGCAGTTGCAATGACTCTAAAGTTCTATAATTCCTTGTTTAACTTAGTTGTTGGTAAATATTTGATTCATAGAAGAATTAAAAAATAGATTTCTTTGAGCAGACAAATTAGCTCACGTCTTTATTCTTCAAATACAGTTTCCCTCTACATCTTTTCTGTAGAGACTACCTCCTCTCAGCAAACTTGATTGATGCTTGATACACTTCTCTAACACAGCACAGAGTAAGAAAAGAAACAACCTGAAAATCACAGACTTTGTCAGCTCATTAATTTTTTGCTTGAAGGAAACACTGACCTTATACATAAAAAAGCGGAAGCAGAAATATTTGAAAGCCCTTTATAATGATACATTTCAAAAAGAATCATTCAAACGTGCATTTGGGTAGCAGAGATGATTATTTCTGAATGAAGTGAATGATTTCTTTTTCTCCTCGATCGTTTTTACATGGAAAGGCAGAACGTCACTGTAGAAGGACAGCACCTGAAAACTGAAGCCAAAAACAGACTATGTGTGTAAGCATTACAGGAACAGAAACCAAAGACAGGAAGTCAAAGGCCACATTCTAAAATTTTGAGTGTGCTACTCGTTTCTTCATTTGTAACCCTAAAACGTAGTCATATCTAGATGTACTCTGAAAAACTCTGTTCTGTTTTTCTAAAAAATCGTACTTTAATACTAAAAACTACCAGAGAAGGAAGAAGCACAAAAGTATATCACTAAGGAGTGACATTGACATAGATGGTCCATGCACCATAGACATAGATCTATAGAAGTCTATAGAAGTGGACATCCCAACCATAGAAACAGTAAGGCTGACATGATGCGTAACTGCAGCAAATTCTGTCTGTTTTTTTTGCTCCACACTCTTCACACCCCAAAAGAGAAAGGAACTCTTTGGGCATGACTACCAGACCACCTTGATTCTTCATGGTAGGAGGTTGACATGCCCCTGCAAAGCCCAAAGTGCTAAAAAAGATTAATTGTCAAGAAGCAATTAAGTGTACCCATAACCATCTGAGGCACATGACTGGTCACCTAGGTCATTAAGCTGAAATAATACAGTCACCGAAACAACCTGCCAGTGACAAGCATCCTAATGAGCTGGAGATTCTGTGAGGAGAAACATTTGTTCTTAGGAAACAGAAAAAAATAAGACCCCCTTTACATGGTTGTTTAATCTGTTTTTGGATATATAAGCAATGAAGAAGAAAAGCAAGACTTTTAATATATTTTTTTTAATTCACACTTATTCTGCACATTAGAAGCTTGAAATGTCCAGCACCTGACGGTGGTTATAAGAGCCTTAAGGTTTAGGGTATGCCTGTGCAATGGGATGCTTGTTTCCTTGCTGTTGTGAAAGTGATAAAAAAGGCAAGAGGAAATAAACAGAAAAATGTGAGGCTTGGAACCGAGGAGCTCACCCTTCATGTGTCATGAGAATTTCTTCTGTTTCCTTTTTAAAATCATATATGAATTAACACCTACAAAGCTAATCCTTTTATTACTTAATATTGTAGCCTGTGTATTTAGAATAATAGCATAGTCAGTGGGCTTTGCGCTTTTGATGTGTTAGACCCAACATACCTCAAAGACAGGAAATTGTAACAGTGAACAAAAGATAATGCTGTTTGTAAAAATTAATGTGAAATAAATTATCCGCTCTTCTGCCGCAGCTGTTTAAACCACCTTCTCCTCATGAAGTTTTCTGGTTGAAGCAGTTCAGTGCTGTGCAGCAGACCCTTTCCCTCTCACTCCCAAAGTCCAGCCCTTCACCAGCCACCTCTGCAGAGTCTTGTATTTTTTTTTCAGGAAAGCACAAATCTTACAAAAAGATTACCAGTCTCCTGTTTATGAGTCTGCATTTCCTCACACACAGCCAATATCCATAAGAAAAACAGACTAAAGATTGCCATGATTATCACTCAGAATCAGTACAGAAACTACAGAAAACCTGAATACTCATTTGCTATAAAACCCCTTTAGGATTTTTCCCGTTTTGTGTTTTGAAAGTCCATGTATTCAATCCTACATTATCACCTAAGATATCACCAAAGGTATAATGGAAAGGACAATGTTGCATAGTTTTCTTCTCCCACAAACTGTCTTTCTTAATATCCCTAAACAGGTCAGTACTCAACCTTTTTATAACTGGCAACAGGTCAGCTCTACAGCTGGGCCCTAATAAGTTGTGTTTTGTCTGGGAAAGTAATGCAACCAAGATTACTTTGTTATTTGCCAAACAGATCCACTGTGAGTACTTAATATTTAAATGTCTCTATACAACTGAAAATAGAATTATCTCCACTCTGTTTACTGTAGATATATTAACAAGCAGCTAATTCAAAAGTTAGTAGGTGAGGTATGGTATAAGCTAAGATTCCAGGCTACTGGAGAAGACTCATAGGAGTATTTTGGGATATAGTCTCATGATGCTCTTGGATCAATAAGCTACTGGCAACCAAATAAACTCAATGAGCTGAACATCCAGCTTTTATTTCTTATGATCTTAGACTACATGTTGTCCTTTTTCAGTAGCTGCGAAATGTATTGTTCAAATATATTTTTCTCCATTTAGGTCACATAAATATATTTCTTGGTATCTAGGGAACATTATTGTACACTAGACTGTTTTAATTCAGAGGGTAAAGTGAACCAACAATATACTGTACAGTTTTGTAAAAGTCACTGTATGATGCTAGCAACTGGATTATATTGATGGCATTGGTGTGAAGCTGCGGTTAATACTCGAGACCAAAACATCATGGGTTCAGAGGGGGTGGGATCCTAGGTGGGATGATGCTGTGGTAACCTTAAATAAGATCATTCCGTTACATTATTCTGGTAATTGCCCTGCTTTATTAGTGGGTACTACCCAGGTCGTCATTAAATTTGTTCTCTATGTAACAATCTAGTTACATTAAAATATTTTTATTATTAGTGCATTTTAGCTGCATAAATGAAATAGGATGTTACGTTTGGGTATGAATAATACTGGTGTCACAAGAATCTTTTGTAACATTCCAGTAGCTTTACAAGTATAGTATAAGAGAAAGAACACTGACCTGCCCTCCAGCCTAAGATGTCAAAAAGTGCTGTGTACTATATCTCCAATTAGATGTATCCAGGGAAATCTCAGTAACTCATGAAAAAATAATAAGGATTTAATGTTATAATTCTGTCAGCCCTGTACCTGGAAAGGCTGTAAACAGAACCACTGATGTAGTGCAAAATAGCTTGTAAGATGAATTGTATTTCTCATTGTTTGATGTTAAACTGTTCTGCAAATTCAGTATTTTTTAAGATTTATATGTGTATGTTTGTAAGAGTATATAAACTAGTACACCAGGTGTTTAGGAATACCTTTACAGAGAACATAGAGGTTGAGTCCTACCTTAAACTCACAGACGCACGTCACAGTGTCTCCAATTCTCAAACATTCCCCGTCAAACTTGCATGTGTTTGTGTCGCAGAGAAAGAGGTCAGTGTCTCGGTCATCATAACCTGAAAACAGTAAGGGGCTGTGTTAGCTAGAGCACAAGAAAGGCCTCACCAACAGAGATTGATAACTTTGAAGGAAGTTCATTCATTCTTGTAATCTTTTCAATGCAGGCCTCCAGAGACGCCAAGATGCCAAGGTGCAATTCCATCTAGCTAACCATTCAGAGACATGTCATTTAATTACCTTTTGTATAATTACTCTGTCAATTTCGTTCTTACAGTCTATTTGCTTTTTTAACCATTTTTAAAATCATTTAATTAAAAATATGGTTTCGATAAACATATGTTCTGCTAAAAACATCATTCAAAACAATAATTCACCCCTACTAAGAAAGAATGAAATAATGCAGGGAGGGGTAAAACTCACAACTGTACACAATGTTGAGGCAGTTCATATTATTTTTATAATTTGGCAGCACTAGTGCCAAATTATAAACAGACAAAACAAACCCCCATTTTTAAATTGAAAGATGAGAAAAACAACAAATTGCATTGATAAAAAAGGTTTAAAAGAATGATTTCACCATAAGGTGAAATAAAGGATGTTCCTAAAGACACACAGTGGATAATATGGCAAGTATAAACAGTATTAGTACAGTTCCTTTGTAGATATTAGTGAGTTAACTAAAAGCAACTGGACAAAGTTATGAAGCACAAGAGGAATGCTAACAGATGTGAACCACAATCAATCACCTTTCTTTCCTGTTTCCATATCAACAAGGTACCAGGAGAAATCAATCTGTAATATGCCATGATTAATAAGGTACTGTGTGAAATTTCCATAGAAAAAAGATAAGGTAGGTAGGCAATAGGCACTTTTATGATAGTCTGAAGTCTGCAACTGATGTTTCTCTACTGTGCTGAAATTCCTTTTAGATTTGTATTCAGAGCTGAACTACAGTAGATACAAAGTAAATTCTCTTTTAAAGCATTTTACATAATATCTTTTTATTGTTGTTTTTAAACCATTTTCCAAACAGTGTTTTCTTTTGTTTTTCTCTTTTCACTCTCACATTGTGATTGACTCGCTGTAAATCTTTGCATTTAGGCTGTTTTGCTTCAGACAGCATCACTTGCCTTTGTAAACACAAAGGCCTATGAAATCTTCTTTAAGACACCAGCTAAATTAATCTCTGGAGAATATTACCATTTCATGAAACATCAATTTCCATGCCTGGGACTCAAATACAGAGGATTGGTAGAGGGAATAAGTGGTTAAATATGGAGTTAAGCACATTAAGCACTTAGCACTTTTTTCCCCACAATATTAGTAGTGCATAGACCCTGGACTTAAGAGCTTCAGGAAATTCAGTTTTTCATTCCACCTTCCACCTGGAAGCTCTTCACTTCCAAACTAAACTAAATATTAATTTTACTCAGCTAACTGAAAGTCTACAGAGAAGTGGTCAGGCACATGCACCTACAGTCTAAAAACATATATTTTTTACTAATGTTCTGCTTCCTTCCTGGGGAAATGTGGAGGTACAGTAGCATTAAAAAGTCACTTACATTATTCATGCTTAATTAAAGCTGTGGAGTGCACCTTTGTCCTGCCTTTGCATTCCTGTAGGCTGATACATTGAAAATCAGCACCTAACGATTTGGTGAGCAGACACCTCTTCATTCAGACTGTTTACACCATATGAAAGTGCTCCCTGATTATGTTTCAGAATCCAATTATAATGATTTGTTTTTTCAATTATTTGAGTCAATGGAACCATGGTGTTTTGAAACAGTACTACAGCACATTTATACATGGGTACGTGGAGTAACCGAGGTGGTGGGGAGGTGGAACCGTGGGTAACACAAGGTACCACTGCTGCCAGAAATGTTAAATGGCACTTCTGTGTCTACACACTAAAATGCAAGAAGAGCTTTTATTTATACACAGAATATTCAAACTATGATGAGTGTCCTTCTGCTATCAGACTATTGGCAACAATCATAGTCACAAACTGCAAACCGCAGTCCCACAAGGGACTTAGTTTTGCTAAGGTTTTGACTTTCCGGTCATCAGAACATTAGGAAAAACAAGGCTCTTTGAAGGCTTCACAGTCTCTTGTTCTCTTTTCTTTTTTTGGGGATAAGATTATGTTGTTTGGCAACCCTGGTTGTTTCACAACTGTTCATATAGATTTTGTCTGGGTTTAGGATGCCTTTCACCAGCTGAAAGAAATACAGAGGAACACTATCTGGTTACTGACCAGGGAATCACACACTGGTGTTATTAGGGTATGATGGCCTCTACTATCCCCTTTATGGGTTCCAACTTTATTGTATTTAGCCCTTCAAGAATGGAGAATTCCTGAAGGCTCTCCTATCTTCCTAGAAGCAAAGAGCATGTCACACTCATCGCTCAGTGTTTCACCTCTGATTCGTGAAAACATTATGAGACTAGCTGTTAACTCACTTTAATCCTGAATTATCCTTATAAGGCTTTCAACTGGAAACTTTTCTTGATTGTAAGGGTTTTTGATTTGTTTGGCTCTTTTCATTTTTGAAACTCCTTTCGTTGGAATACAGGGCAGGATAATGCAAAATATATACAGTAGGAAACTGAAATGTCAGCTGAAATGACAGCAGGACACAGGGGTCCTGTGTCAAATAAAATGGTGAATTCAACTGTATTTGAAAAAAACTTTCAAAATCTTTGTCATGAAGCACTGCACTGATTGAATTTAAACTTTGCAGATTTTATCAACATTGAAAGCTTTTTCACCTGACGCTTTTTACAATCTTCACCTGAAGAAGTACTATTATAATTCTTATGAAAACAGAAGGTCATGACCTGTTTTGAGAAACACAGGCCATTATGCAATGTATTCTTGCTCAAAACCTGTCAATTAACTCCAAACATGGTGAGTGTCATTCTAATGGGCCCACAATTAACATTCGACACATTGTTGTTCATCCATATATCAAGATGGCTGCATGGATGCCATTTTGTTCTCACAGCTTACACAGATTCTGTCTTGGGACCCACAGACTCATTGAACCTTAACATATGTAATGTATAACCAAAGCACTTTCTGTTTCACACTTTGGCCACAATGCTTGTCGTCAACTGCTGGGTGAAATCTAGCCTCTTATACAAACTGCTCCTGTTGAAAGATTGGTTAGCCAATGAGCTCCAAACTTGGTATGTGTCAACCAAGTGATAATACAGTAAATAAAACAGTAAAATAATTAAATCAGATTCCTGCATATACCACAATAGCCACCACAGCACCATTTTGTTTGCAAAATTCAAATTGCCACTGTCTTGGGTATTGCTTTAACATAACACAAGCGGCTCTTCTTCAAAAATTGTTTGGTAAAATAACTCCGAACAGTAGGTATCATTCTAGTGACTTTGCAATTACAGTGAAATTGTACAGTGAAATAAGATACCTCCTAAAAACCAGGATGCCACCTGACCACCAATTCTTTATATACATCCTGTACCATTGCCATCTTCAGCAATCTTCAAACTTGGTTAACTTCAAACCTGGTAGGTACAATTTTACTGTTAGTATTCTATACATCTGCTATATACTGTATGTTGTAGTGGCAAAATGGGATTTCTGCATAGCCTACAATGGCCATCTTACAACAATATTTTCCTGTTAACAGCCTTTGCCTTGGTTACTTCTTTATTAAAACGTGGCAGGTTTAATCACAACCAGATGTGCTTTGTACTTGCACCTCAAATGATGCAGAGATGCTTTTATGCCCACAATGGGTTACAGGGTTCAAATCCCAGGTGGAATATTGCTGTTGTGCCCTTAAGCAAATATATAACTCAGATCTCTACAGTAAAATACTAATTTGGGAAACTAGATATAAATGTAAGTAGCTTTGGACAAAATCATCAGCAAAATATTGTATTCAAGCGCAGTTACTTTACAAAGAGAAATAAATCATAGAGTCTATGGGCCTATAAGGGTTACACTTATTAAAACATTCTAAAGGTATAGAGTTAGAACTTTAATTATAGATTATATCAATAATAATCAATCACTATTTAATATATTCAATAAAAGAAGAATTGTGTTTATGGGAGAATTACTTAACAACTTGATTAGGAAAAATATATAGGAAAAGAAAACACTTTAAATAAATAATGAAACAAACACCTGTTTTAATTTTTAACCTTTGCAAGCATGGGTAAAAAGTAATAAGGAAGGCCAAGTGAGAAGATTTGTGATTGGAATTTTGTAATTGGAGTTAAAATAAATAATAAAAAGTTATTTTAGTACTACAACACCAAAAGAACTGTAGAACTGGTTGAAGTAAAATGTATTTGGGAAAATAATCAGAAATTGCTAGACAATGAAAAAGAAATGGTTTATGTATCAAATGCATAATACATTTAGGCGTCCATTAACGAAGAAGTCAACAAACATGCCTCAGGAAGTGGAACAATATTCTGTATCAAATAACATTAATATAGAAGATACAGAATTATTGTAGCTACTAGAAACAACCGAGATTAATATATCCTGGACTCATTAATATACCCTGGACGCATGGTATCATACCAGTTGTAGGACTGTTATACAGAAATAATGTTATTCAGAACTCAACTCTCCAGACAGTCGCTCAAGAATGGGACCTTTGCTATTCTTAATTTTTAGCAATGATCTAGATACTGGTGAAGATTGTAAAATAGGCAAGTTTGCATACTAAATCTTCCTAGCTAAATGGCAATGCAAATGTTAGGATACACAGTAGAAAGCACAGAATTAAAATTAAGGGTTATCATGTTAAAATTGGATGACCCACCGGTAATACCTAAATTAGAATACTGTGTATAATGTTGGTCACCATATAACAAAAATATATTGCTGCTCTGAAATCTGACCACAGAAGAGGAAACAGATACATCTGGGGCTTAAAGCACTGACAGACTAAAAGAGCTGAACCTTTTTAATTCTCAACAGAGAACACAGCGAAGGAACTGGACACGAGTACTCACAATCCTCAAAGGTATTAACAAAGTCAACCCAGCGGATTTCTTCAGT